GGGGGGGATGCACAGAACACGGGGGATGCACAGAGCACGTGGGATGCACAGAGCACGTGGGATGCACAGAGCACGGGGGGATGCACAGAGCACGGGGGATACACAGAGCACAGAAGATGCACAGAGCACGGGGAATGCACAGAGCACGGGGGATGCACAGAGCACGGGGGGATGCACAGAGCACCAGAGATGTACAGAGCATGGGGGATGCACAGAGCACGGAGGATGCACAGAGCACGGGGGGATGCACAGAGCACCGAAGATACACAGAGCACGGGGGATGTACAGAGCACGGGGTATGCACAGAGCACGGGGGGATGCACAGAGTACGGGGGGATGCACAGAGCACCGAAGATGCACAGAGCATGGGGGGATGCATAGAGCACAGGGGATGCACAGAGCATGGGGGGATGCACAGAGCATGGGGGATGCATAGAGCATGGAGGATGCACAGAGTATGGGGGATGCACAGAGCACGGGGGATGCATAGAGCATGGAGGATGCACAGAGTACGGGGGATGCATAGATCATGGAGGATGCACAGAGTACGGGGGATGCACAGAGCACGGGGGATGCACAGAGCATGGAGGATGCACCTAAGGATGCACACAGCCTCTTCTCTGGCACACAGCCAGAACCCATAGTGACTACAATGGTCTTAAAAAAGGAACACACTTGGCTAGTTTCAAGACGACAGAGAAAGGAAAAGATGAATTTAATGTAGATTAAGTTATATTAATTAATGCTCATATCATTTACTATGTATTCATACTTCTATTTATCTCATACTTTATTAATAGTTTAACAGTTCAGGTCTTAATGCTGAAATCTTATTTGAATGAACAAGGCATATAAATACCTAATATTAAGGGGAGTGATGGCTGCAGACATTTGTAGAACAAAGAGACACCATTCGAAGGCCTCTGGCCAGGCCTAACTGAAAGCTAGTTTGGACAGATGGCCAAGGAGAAAAGTCGTTTTACATATGAGAGAGGTGGAAAATCCATCCGGAAAGCTGGGGATTAGAGAGAACCAGCTTTTGATAGACAACTGTCAGCAAACTGGAGGACAGAGTAATTTTAGGGTTAAACAGCAGGAAACTTAATTAGAGGTTTTGAAATATGACTCAGAACAGTAATACAAAGCCCTGTGAATGTTCATGCCTAAAACTACCCACTGCTCCTCACTGTCATCCAAGCGTCATCTGAGCTAAGCAGAATTACACCTATAGTGATGCTTGGAGCTCTGCAGAGTTCTTAAGCATGGCGGTATGCTTCTTCCTGGTGAAAGAGGGTGGAACAGGGGCTTGTGCTTACAGCCCTGACTATGTAGGCACTAAATGTGTTCCTTTTCGAGTTTGTCTTATACGGTCTGGAAAAGAAATGTCAATTTACAGATGAGACGCAGTCATACCACTTGTGTGTATTCTATCATCTCGAGATATTTTGCAGACAAGAGAAGGGAAGGGGAGAAAGAAAGAGAGGAGCAGGGGAAAGCCAGCAAAAATTCATGCTCAGCATACAGCAGAGGCTTGCAAAATGCAGACGGTGGACGCTACCTGTGCTCACCACAAAAATGGTAACTGAGGGGTAACACATTTGTTTAGGAGCTAGATTCAACCATCCCCTTTAAAACAGCAAGGGGTGCCCAACACAAACATTCAATGATCTGTCCATTTAAATAGCTAAATACCTAAATAGATGCCAACCCCCAAAAAAGCCAAACTGATGATCAGCTTTCTGCACATCAGCCCCAGTGCTATAAGCTGGGAAAAGCAGACAGCTTCCTCGGTTTCCTCTGTGGGGTTTCAATGAGAGATGGAGGGAAGCAATGTGACTTATGTCTGAGCTCCTTCCAGCTCTTCCTCCTGGGAATCTTTGCTTCTG